ATATATATCAGCAAAAATATATATTCTATTAATCCAAATTCATTTTTGGGAACAGCATTTGTTTTACTTTATTTTGCTTACTTTTCTCTTTGAACTTTTCTTTCTGAAGATGCAATTAGAAGACATACTAATAGAATGTCATTTTATGTGTGCATTGTCTAACTTTTTTTCAGATAAAATTATAATGTTGGCTTCTTTTCTTTAATTACCATAGAGGACTAAGTGTAATTTTGTATTGGGAAATATTTATATGAATAATTGTATGATTTTTTTAAAAAAAACTTTGTAATACAGCATAAAAGGAAAATTTATGCCATGATGAAACTTAATGCTAAGTAGCCGTCACATTCTTTATGAGATTAGTGGATATAAACCAAGTATTAAAATAAAAATGCTGCTGGGAGTGGTGGCTCACGCCTGTAGTCCCAGCTGCTCCAGAGGTTGAGGCAGGAGGATCGCTTGAGCCCATGAGTTTGAAGCTGCAGTGAGCTGTGATCATACCGTTGCACTCCAGCCTGGGTGACCCTGACAAAAAAGAAAAAAATGCAGTTATTTGATTTTTATTTCTAATTGGTTATTTTGAACATTTAATTTTAATACTTCTACAGTTTTATTTGTGCCAGGTCACTTATTCATTGTTTTATTATGGTAACAGTTCTATTAGTTTTGCTTCTTTTTTTATTGACTTTATATTCATTCCTTTTATCACTGATGATTCACTTTGAAAATAAACATGTTGTATAGGGCAACTATGATATCCTCATTTATAAGAACATATCCTGATTAGGAAAGTCATAATGTAGGTGAATGAATTTTAAGTTGAGCCATAAAACACCATCAAATTGGTATTTGAGCATTGTCATTTGGGGCTAAACTTATTTTAAATAACATGTTGCTTACCTAATTAGGCCCTACACTGTTACACACACGTGTGTGTGTGTGTATTTTCTTATTAATGTATTGGCCTGTATTTCTGGTCATTCATTCACAAAGCATTGATTGAATAATTATTTGTTGTATGGCATATAGTCAAAGTTCTAGAGATACAAATATGAAGAAGACAAAGTCTCCACTTGTAAATAATTCACAGTCTGGTAGGTGAAACGTGTAACTGTTTAAAATATTATGTAATAATAATGAATTGTGTACAGTTCCTTGAATACTTGTTTTTAATAGCTGTCAATCATTGAAAAAGATACCTCATAAAGATATGTAGATCCAAATGAAACAAATATATAATTGGCTATTTTAACTAAAGCATATTTTTTCAATCATGTCTGCCAATGAATAGGTCAAAGGTTTTTGTTGAAATCAGCTAGTAATTGCCATTTTTCCTGATGTCAATTAGTTGTTCCTACAAACTAATTGAAAAGTTTGCTATTGAAAGTTTTTAACAGGTTCAAAACCTACAACAATTCTTTGATAGATTTAAATGCAAATAAAAATTTTGTTCTTCAGGTTTTTGAAATGTGATGATGTGCGTTTTCTTTAATGCATTATTTTTGGCAACAATGAACTCTTTTCAAAATATAATACTTTTTATATAATATGTTTTCCAAAAATCATTTATTTTTACATTTGTTGTCAAAATATCACATTTCCTTTGAAGAAAATGTTCTTTTCTAACATTGCTAGATAATGTAATACAGCAACTTTTTATCAAAGAGAAAATGACCAAGTTTAGAACATTAGAGTTTTTGTTTAAAATACATAATTTGGCCAGGTGGAGTGGTTCATGCCTATAATCTCAGCACTTTGGGAGGCCATGGCGGGAAGATCCCTGAGGCCAGGAGTTCAAGGCTGGCCTGGGTAATGTAGTAAGATCCTGCCTCTACAAAGAAAAAATAAAACATAATTTATCTTTTATAACTCTTCATAAGTGCATTGATACCAGATAATCAGCAAGCTATTGTATAAAACAAAAGTTTTGGGGGGATACCCCTGATCTTATTAAAATGTATTATAAAAATTCTACTATTTATGATTATATTTACTATAATCTATAAGTCTATTTAACCAAGAACATAGAAACTAGAATATGTTACAGATAAAAGAGTAATAACATGGAAGGAAAAGTAGCAAATTTTGAAGAGAATGTGGTCTGTTGTGTCAGATGCCAAAGAGAGTTACTCAAAAATGTATATTGGTTTTGTCAGTTATGAGTTGAGACCTTAGCAAGAGCAGTTCAATAGCATAATAGAGAAAGAGGCAAAAGTGGCTTAATAAGGGAATTGGAGATGAAATAGAGAGAGGGAGACAAGATTACACACCAAGGCCACTGACTTTAAAAGCTATGATACAACGGACATACAAGGTCAAAGAAAGTATTTTTTTTTTTTTAAGATGGAAGAAATTTAAACATTTTTATTAAAATAAAGACAAGGGAAGGAGGTACCAGTGGGGAATGTAGAAATATTTCATCACAACATTGTGGAGGGATGTTATGATGGGAGAATATACACTTGTTCTTTAAGAATGGCATTAAATAGATTAAGATGGGTATTCATGCAGTTGTTTATAAAGTGATTATAGCCTAGTTAAGAGTGGTAAAGAGAGCTTGAGGAGGAGGAGGAGAGGAGAGGTGAAGGTTTGGATAGATATTGACAAGTAAAACATTTTCCCTTCCCTTTTCCTCTTTTCCCCTTCCTCCCACCTCCTTCTTTTTATCTGTAGTATGAGAAGCCCACCCCTGGAGAAAGGTGTTAATAGTTTTTAAGCAGTTTTTTTTTTTTAAATCCTGTAATTATAAATATGCTGAGTGTGAAAAGTACTTAATTGATGCTTGTAAAACTAGTTAAGAATTTAATTTTAAAGCATTCTCTAATTGAACTTTTTATAAAATAAAGAAATGTATAGTAGTGAATTTCTATAAAGTCAACAGATTATTTAATATTGCTCATATTTGAGAATATTACCATAGATTTTTTGAATTAATTGGAGATAAAATTTTATATTATAGCGTTATATAAAATAGCTTTGATTTAAGGATATCTTCATTGAAGCAATGTGAAATTTATCTATAATGAGCCTTCTGACATTGGGAATAAAATGTCCAATGAAGCCTCATTTTATTTGTTATATCTTGCTATTTTCCAATATTTTTGTAATTTTTTTTCTTCATTTAGTTATATATGAAGAAAACATCTTTGAGATTCAAAGCTTTTCAGGAGTAAGGACTTAGTCTATTTAATGTTATTCAGACTTGACATTTAACCATAAAGCACTTTCTGAAAATGTCCCTGTTAAGCATATAAATACTATTAATTTTGTGTACTTATATAAGTGGGAAGGTAAGAACATTTATCATTTGAGTAAAAATTTTTTAAATTGTGTAAAACATGCATAACATAAAATTTACCATTTTAACCATTTTTAAATGTAAGTTCAGTGGCGTTAAGTATGTTTACCTTTTTGTGCAATCATCACTACCATCCATCTTCAGAACTTTTTCATCATCTCAAACTGAAACTCTATACCCACTAAACTATATTATTTATTATATTGCCAAGCCAAAAGCTAAGAGAAAGCAAGACCTCAGAAAGTAAACAAAGCATAGCAATCTACTTTTATTTGATGCCAACTTCAGACAAAATTAAATTGAGGTTTTGATAGCTTTGCAGGGAAAGAAAGAGAGAAATCAAAGCCAAACTCAGTAAAATCAAGCTGTGGTTTTAATAGCTTGTGGGATAAGAGGGAGGGTAATCAAAGCCCTTTATCATGATAGGGAAATGAAATAAAATCCTCCCCATATTTATTATTAATAGCAGAGACCATCCTCTGTCACAGGCTATTCCATCATAGTAAAGATAAATTAGAAGTAAAACTGTTTCCCTTCCCTCACCACTAGAACACCCTGGGGAGATTTGCCTTGGGGCTGAGCAGAGCAGAAGATAAAAGAAAGCCTATCTTTGAGACAGGTATTTTTCCATGGATTTCAGTCCAAATTTGCATCAGTTAGTGGTCCAAGGGATCCTCAGTTTTAAATGGTTCTGGGATGGCAGAAACAAATGCATATTTTCTCTGGAGGAAAGGCACCTTCTTTCTTAGCCCTGGGAAATCTTCATGAATAATTTTTCAAGGGCAGTGATTAGCACACAGTCAAATATATTCAAACATTTGAGGTGAAAGAGTAAGAAGAGTAAGAACATACAGAAAACAAGAGACAACAAA